TTGTTATATATATTGTTGGTCATAGTTCAGTTGCCACACTACTGTGTCATTTGTTGTCATGTGGTGATGTCTCAAATAATCTTTTAACATGAACAGAAAGATTTTAGGTAGAGACATCCACTAGCTGAGACCAGCGATAGAAATTAACAATTTTTAGTCCACTAGTCCATATAGCAGATATAGTGATTATATATAGCAAAACCATTAACACATACAGCAAAACCCTTAAAATGGTAATTTGTTACTAGTGCTTATGATACCTTTACCATTGGTCAGTTTAGCAAGGACTAGAGGATCTATGCCAATTTCTATCACTGCTAGGACGTGCTGAGATGTGTGATGTGTTTTCACATGAACATGCAGTGACAACTGGAGGTCACCGTGAGCTTGTGCCATGGAATGGTGTCGGTTGTACTGTTAATAGTGTTATCGTGAACGTCTTCCTCTGTTGTGAAGCACAATGCTCATTAAGCTGAACCCCTCCATAAAGGATTCCCTTGTGGTAGCATTAAAACATCCCCTCTGAATTTAAATCCAATTTTATGTGATGGCATTACGCTGTCGATTCTCTTAATGGCCACCATGGCATCCATATTGAAATAAAGCACTTCCATGTTTGGATTGATTTATGGAGTTTTAGCCTTTACTTTTCAAGTTTAGTCTCTATTTCAGTTGCACATTGCTATCTTTATTGCTGTAAGCTAGAGGCATGGGCATTTCTGTGTTTAAGTTATCTTGTATTAGATATGCATGTGTTTTCCCAAACAGGAACTGATGTCATAAACCAGAAGTGCCTATATAACTTTCTTATTTATTAACTGGATATGACATCAGGGTTTTACCATAACCTCACAAAACTAGGGTTCCAGGGGACCCCCAATAATTGATTTGAAGGGTCCTTAGAGGGAAATATCATGGTCCTGTGTAGTAATGAAGTGGTGTTGTGTACTGTACTGTAAGATTGATAATTGCTTTTATTACAGGACTTCTATGATTCTTGTCAAGAATTTGCTATAATGAATATTATTGTGCCTCCTTCAGGATGCAATATATATGATTTTCTGCATCCATTCTATATAATTGTGAGTACTGGACACACATTTCTGTGTCATGTAGAACCCAGTGACATTTATTTTCCCTCGTCAGTGATTTCGTTCAAATGGTAGGCTGTAGAACTTTTTATTTATTCTTATTCTTGCATTAGACATGTGTTTCTCAAACCAGAAAGGAAGTCAATAAACTGGTGCATGTAACCTTCTTACTGGCAGTGATTTAGGTGGCAACAGGCAGGGGACTTGCCCTGCAAAATTGTCAAATTGGGAGTGATGTCATTAGACTTGTAGGGAAGCCATTTTAGTGGAAATGTCTTTGGGTGTTCATTATATTAGGTAGAGGCAAGCTGCTTTAATCTGGTATGAGGTTGTAGTAGGCATGCATTTTGCCAAACTGAAGATAATGGTATCACATTGGAAATGTGTGGAGGTATGTAAAGATGGGATAGGGACTTCTGGCCATGGGGGTGATGGGGCAGGTTCTGTTTTTGCAAGTACTTCCAAAGAGTTTTTGAGTTAAGTCTCTATGAGAACCTGATATCCCGAGACCACAACTCTGACTCCGATTCCATATCCAAATCCACAACCACCCACAACCACACCAACCCAACCAACCCAACCCAAACCAACCCAAAACAATCAATAACCAAATATCCACTTCAACAAACATGTACTCAGAACCAACATCTGCACTCCCTCCCAACCACACTTGCAGGCATAATTAAGTGTTTTTTAGCTTGGGATTCCTGCAATTATAGGCTGTGACCCCCTAAAATACAATGTAAATATCCCTGCTCACAATTAATAATAACACCTGCACCCTTCTTATAATCCCACCCACACTGAGGCAGGATGGATTAGAAATGGTCCCTTCTGATAAACAGTCAAACAAGAAGCACACATGTAAGGTTCCCTGATAAGACGGCAAGATAGTTTATGACACGCACAAATTTATGTACCCACAGACAGTAAATTATGTTTCTGTCATTGGGGTCTTGATGCATTGATATAATGATCATGTGTCTATTTGTAATACAATATATTGTGCTCAAATGCTCGGTTTAGTAACTCTGACCTTCCACATGTTCTTTGTGTTCTGCCAGGTGTCTGCTGTGTGTGATGCAGTATTTGTCTGCCATGTGTCTATTGTCTGCCGTGTGTGATGCAGTATGTGTCTGCCTTGTGTCTATTGTCTGCCATGTGTGATGCAAGATGTGTCTGATGTGTGTGATGCAAGATGTGTCTGCCGTGTGTAATGTAAGATGTGTCTGCTGTGTGTAATGTAAGATGTGTCTGCCATGTGTGATGCAAGATGTGTCTGCCGTGTGTGATGCAAGATGTGTCTGTCATGTGTGATGCAAGATGTGTCTGCCATGTGTGATGCAAAATGTGTCCGCGGTGTGTGATGCAAGATATGTCTGCCATGTGTGATGCAAGATATGTCTGCCATGTGTGATGCAAGATGTGTCTGCCATGTGTGATGCAAGATGTGTCTGCTGTGTGTAATACAAGATGTGTCTGTAATGTGTGATGCAAGATGTGTCTGCTGTGTGTAATGCAAGATGTGTCTGCCGTATGTAATGCAAGATATGTCTGCCATGTGTGATGCAAGATGTGTCTGCCATGTGTGATGCAAGATATGTCTGCTGTGTGTAATGCAAGATGTGTCTGTAATGTGTGATGCAAGGTGTGTCTGCCATGTGTAATGCAAGATGTGTCTGCCATGTGTGATGCAAGATGTGTCTGCTGTGTGTGATGCAAGATGTGTCTACCATGTGTGATGCAAGATGTGTCTGCCATGTGTAATGCAAGATGTGTCTGCCATGTGTGATGCAAGATGTGTCTGCCGTGTGTGATGCAAGATGTGTCTGCCATGTGTGATGCAAGATGTGTCTGCCATGTGTAACTGTAATGCAAGATGTGTCTGCCATGTGTATTGCAAGATGTGTCTGCTGTGTGTGATGCAAGATGTGATGCAAGATGTGTCTGCCATGTGTAATGCAAGATGCGTCTGCCATGTGTAACTGTAATGCAAGGTGTGTCTGCCATGTGTAATGCAAGATGTGTCTGCCATGTGTAATGCATAATGTGTCTGCTGTGTGTGATGCAAGATGTGTCTGCCATGTGTGATGCAATATGTTACTGCCACCTGTTATTGACTTACTTGACATGTGTCTTTTCATGTGCTTTCCATGTGTGTGAGTCACCATGTGTTCTAAACCATGTGTATTGCCATGTTTGTTGCCATGTCTTGAATGCAGATCATGTATGAGTCTGACATTTAGTCAATACAGACTGAGTGCAGCTGATAACTGAACAAACAGCCCTCCTAGCTGTGTCTCTGCGTCAATATGGTAAAATGGGAGTTTATGCCTCTGATGGATCAGAAGGGCTTTGTATGCTCCAGACTGCTATGTCAAACCAGCTGAAGGCAAGGCTGTGTTATTCAGATGAATTGGTTTTTTGACTGAGGCACTTTCAGCTTATCGTTACATCAAAGTGCTGCATCTATGAGTAAGGTGACTTTAATGTTATACATATGAAATGTATTTCAGTATTGAGGACAGGATCTAATGGGGATGAAAGCCTGTTCATAGAAGACAACATGCCACCATGTGTAGTGGTGATATTGATTCAGTGCTAATCTAGCTGTCATATCAAAGGGGAAAGGTATTTTATGTAATGTTCAGATGTTATTATTTATGTTTTTCCTGAAGCTGTATTGCTGGACACTGTAGAACACAATAACAAAAGATGCTTTGTTGACATGGAAAGCTCAGATGGGGACAGTGAAAAAAATTGTGGCCATTTTAGATGTACTAAGAATGTTTTCCTATGGTAATCAAAGTGCAGAACATCTGATAGGACATCATTGTAATGACATTTCTCGCAACACAAGCATATACCAAATCCCTGCAGACCTAGGTAACAATCATAATACTATATCTTGATCTCATACCTCAAGGGGCTTCTTTGCTGTAAACTGACGCTTGCCACAGTAGGTCACCTGAATAGCAAGTGCTTGCCACAGTAGATCACCAATAGCAAGTTTTTGCCACAGTAGGTCACCAATAGCAAGTGCTTGCCACAGTAGGCCACCAATAGCAAGTGCTTGCCACAGTAGGTCACCTGAATAGCAAGTGTTTGCCACAGTAGATCACCAATAGCAAGTGCTTGCCACAGTAGGTCACAAATAGCAAGTGCTTGCCTCAGTAGGTCACCAATGGCAAGTGCTTGCCACAGTAGGTCACCTGAATAGCAAGTGCTTGCCACAGTAGGTCACCTGAATAGCAAGTGTTTGCCTCAGTAGGTCACCAATAGCAAGTGTTTGCCACAGTTGGTCACCAACGGTTGGAAGCTAGTTCTTGCCATAGCTTACTAACATGGTAATCAGGTAGTCACATGGCTTTTTATAATGAATTATGTTTGGACATCAAGGGAATATCAGTCATTTTTTTTTTTTTTTTTTTTTTTTTCGTACTGTTAACTTCTGGTATCTCTGGTCCATATGCTTGTCGTAAGAGGCGACAAACGGGATCGGGTGGTCAGGCTTTCTGACTTGGTTCATGCATGTCATCGTATCCCAGTTGCTTGGATTGGTGCTTATGATATCAATCACTGGATTGTCTGGTCCAGAATCGATTATTTGCAGAACACTGTCATATACATGGAATATTGCTGAGTGAGACATTAAACAACAAACTCTGGTCAAGACTTTGTTACATGGGTGACAAACTATAATGATGACACTTCTCAATTCATGACCCTGTTCACTTGACATGAGATAGTTTACACTGCCAATCATTGTCGCTGAAATTGAGTAGATTTGAGACACTTACTCATTTGAGAAGTGTTTCATAGAATTTTTCTTATAAACCTTTTTGTTTTAAGTGTCTTTATAACCTGATTTTTCTGTGGGTGTATCACTGTTTGCACTGTTTGTTTCAGGTGGGAAGTGTCGCTGATCACTATTTGTTTGAGATCCCCGGGCGTGCTCGGAGATCTGCTAGTCACAGTGCTGAGCATCATGAATCCCTGGCAGCCCATCCACAGGTAAATAATGCATCCACATAATAGGAAAACAATGTTTACATCCACAGGTAAATAATGCATCCACGTAATAGGAAAACAATGTCCATATCCACAGGTAAATAATGCATCCACATAATAGGAAAACAATGTTTACATCCACAGGTAAATAATGCATCCACATAATAGGAAAACAATGTTTACATCCTCAGGTAAATAATGCATCCACATAATAGGAAAACAATGTCCATATCCACAGGTAAATAATGCATCCACATAATAGGAAAACAGTGTCCATATCCACAGGTAAATAATGCATCCACATAATAGGAAAACAATGTCCATATCCACAGGTAAATAATGCATCCACATAATAGGAAAACAATGTCCATATCCACAGGTAAATAATGCATCCACATAATAGGAAAACAATGTTCATATCCACAGGTAAATAATGCATCCACGTAATAGGAAAACAATGTTCATATCCATAGGTAAATAATGCATCCAATTAACCTTTAGCCTGCTGAATTGTTTTAGCATAAGGCGCTGAGAAGACGTCGGAGGATTTCAAACAGTCGGTACTTCATTAAACAAGGGCCAAGTGAAGAAATATTTTGCACATTTATTCCTGATAGAAAACTACACATTGCTATGTAAAAAATTCCTGATGTTTTCAGTCATACCAAGGTTAAGACCAAAGCGAACGCAAAATTTGTAAATTTTCGTGAACTTGCCTCAATTACGTTATTTAAGGTGGTTTACGTTTCATGTTAGGAACCTCTTTAAATCGTTACATTTGTGCAAATTGATTACAATAATCATATCTCCGATATCTTAATTTTAACTGAGCATACATTTGATGTTTTTTATTGGTGAATAACCGATATCTTTCCTATATGTTTCCGATATCTTAATTTTAACTGAGCATACATTTGATGTTTTTTATTGGTGAATAACCGATATCTTTCCTATATGTTTCCGATATCTTAATTTTAACTGAGCATACATTTGATGTTTTTTATTGGTGAATAACGGCAGGATGGTAAATTATGAACCATTTCAGTAAATTTATTATCCAAACGTGTAACCAAAAAAACCCTCAATTTTGGGGGTCATCATGTCAGTTGCAGAAATATGAACATTCGGGTTAATCTAGTGTCACGTTATAAAATTTGCAGGAAACAATGATTCATAAATATTCACTAATCCTAATTTCAAGTGTTTTGGTTGAACATTTATGATACAGTAGAACACGGATATAACGAACACGGATATGATAAGGATATGTTTCATGTATCTGCGATGTACACGCTGATGATTTTATTTTCACTATAAAAATTGTGTCCCAGGCAATATGTCTATAAATATCATCAATCAGCAATGATCAACCTCCACAACAAGTGCACGAAACTCGACGTGACAAAAACGTGTTTCAAAATAGCATTCATGCGATGCCGAATATGATAGGATATACGCAAGTGCAGGATGTATATATCAGTAAAATACTTCATACATATTTTCAGTGTTAGTTTATAATTAAAAGTGGGATAGTTAAAGAATTTTTCCTTTTATAATACATTTATCATGTTTATTGATTCTAGCATTATTTTAGAACAATTTCACGGAGCATTTAAAAATTTATTCCATCAATATAGAGACCGCCATGATTTGTTATTGATGATAGATTTGTTAATGTTTAATTATTAACAGCTGTTCACAGCTTCTAAAATATTAAGTTATATTTTATATTTAGTAGGCATTTTTTTCCACAATGATTATATGTATTGACACTAAACATTGGTCAATGAATCAGCAAAGTTTTACTGATCAAACTTCAATTATTATCTTTAGTTTAAACATATTTTATTCAACAATTATTATCGTTCACCTGAACATCAATTATGTGAATAAGTAACTATTTGATGTCATTATTTAAGTTTGTATTCCATAATAAGATCCTAATGAACATATACATACACAAGTCATATTGGACATTAATCTTGTGTATGAAGTGGTTTGTTTTCCAAACAAAACAATTCTTAAATACAGTTGTAATATGAATATGATACATTAATTTCTTGTAACAGTGCATGAGATTTTTGTTTGTTTAATCACAAGAACAAGGGTGGCACTTAAGCTGGTGAGTTAGCCATATATATATTTATAAGAGAATGTTATCTTTTGAAAAAGGAATAGGGCACATTACGTACATTGACAATTCTTGCAGTTGTGTTGTGTTGGAGAAAGTTACATGGAAATATCCTATGTTATGTATTTTTTCAGGGTTTTCACTAATGAACATGATGAAATAATGTGTAATCAGTCTGGCAGGACTTTCCAGGTTTGTGACAGTGACGCTCATGCATGTCCCCTAAATGAACATGAACCACTGTAAAATGTGATCAACAGTCAGTACAAAAACTCAAAATAAATGCAGATCACCACCAGCTTTAGTTCTGACATCGTTGAACATTTGATGGGTTTCTGAATATCCAGTCAGTATAGTTCAGCCACACCCCCTGACTTTATGTCACCATATATGGTTTATTTCGCAAACATGATCTGCTGCAAACCTGTTTTTCCCTTGTATGCAATCACAGTATCCAGCTTCATCAGCTTGTGTGTCACAAGTTCCTCAGTTGCTGTGTATAAAAGTGCCTTTGCCATCATGAAACAAGAACAGTCGAAAACAAAAGTATTTGTCAAAAATACCCAACACATTTGTCTTTCCTTGAATAATCCTAGGTTTAGTGCTTGAAATTTTCAGTGTCATAAATTATTTTTTTAAAATTTCATAAGGATTTTTCTTTGAAGACAAACGTCAAACCATCTGACAAGTTAGATAGAATTTTGACTTTAAAAGTCCTCATTTCTGAGGTGTCCCTTCTTTTCAGATTTTTTTTTCTACTTTTACTTTTAGGACAAAACATGAACCGTCTACTCGAGTTTGGTTACGTAAACAAAACATGTTTTAAAATGTAAAAAGGAATTTGACTGATAAGAAATCTTTTTTTATCCCATCGTTTAATGAAATGTATTTGAAATGTGCTTTTTGTATGTAAATTTTTTATAGAGTATGTACTGGTACCCAAACTGGTATGTACAGTTTTGTAGTTTCAAGGATACACATTACTTTTTGTTTGAAAAATTAATTTATTATCACTTTCCTGTCAAAACACTAAAATTAACTTATGCTTATGGTTTACCAATTAACTGGCCTCATTCAGTGACAAGAATTTATTACTTTCCTATCACAATCAAACAATTTGAGTTGTGCCAATGTGGGCTGACTTCACTCAAGGACCACATGCCTTTAGGTTAGTCATATTATGAACTTGATGAAATATTTTATATCATAATGGTCAACTCGTTGTTTGCAGTAAACATGAAAAAATATAAAATCATACATATTTAGTTCAGTTTTCTTGTCGTCAAAAATCACAAAGTACTTTGAGTACTGTTTTGTTTTGGGTACACATAGGCCCTACAATCATCCAGTCGACGTGTTCCTGCTTTGATCCTTAATATTCTAAATTGTTCCTCTTGCAATGACAGACCAATAAAATATTATGTTGTTGTTATTATGGCATATCAATATGTTATATCGCTCTCCGCTGCCATCATTTTCAGAAAATAATTTTTAAATCATCGAGCATGGAACCCTTTACGGTTTTGGATATAGACTTACAAATTTGATGTTACGCAACGGCAGCAATCACGAATAAATATGAAACAAATAGGAGTGAAAACTGCTATTTATGTCAATAAATAGTAAACAGTTGACGAAAGATTGTAAATTATGTAATTTCTTTTGAATTTGGAATTTCGAAAAAAAAATTGTGATAGCTTACTGACTTTTCCATATTTTGCTTCGATGTGTGTCATGCAGTACATGCTTCCTGTTTCAGAAATGATAGCTATAATTCAAGTATTTTGATTACTTTTTATAAACTGCATTATTTTGCTAGTAAATGGTTACCTAGAATGTATATCAGTTCATTTTTTCCATATCATCCAAGGGGGCGGTCGGGTAGCCTAGTGGTTAAAGCGTTCGCTCGTCACGCCGAAGACCCAGGTTCGATTCCCGACATGGGTACAATGTGTGAAGCCCATTTCTGGTGTCCCCCGCCGTGATATTGCTGGAATATTGCTAAAAGCGGCGTAAAACCATACTCACTCACTCCCCATATCATCCAATATTTGTCATTATTTGCAGTGTTTGTTGACTTTGTTCAACTCAACAAATCGCGAGTTAGGCCACGCCTAAATGTGTCATTGATGTTTGTAGGCATGTCAGTGTGTCCAAAGGTTTATCAAAAGAAATCATTTGCAAACTCTATAAAATGAGATTTTGTTTTTACAAAGAAATATGCATCCGTGTCAATAATTCTAGAAGATTAAGTTGGATGTAACAAAATTATTGTAATAGTCTAACGGGATCACTATGCATGTGGAGTTGTTTGTTTACTGCCGTTGCCAGGATCGTACAAGCTCCATCCAATCAATGATGTTACGATTCAGATTGTTTTTGTTTTGATTTAATTACATTGAAATTTGCTAATTTTTAGAAATAAAGAAACTTAAGTGTTTTCCTTTCATCAGCAAACAAAAAATTATGATTGAATATGTAAAATGATAAAATTATAATAAAAATATTGGGCTGCATGCCGCTCAACGTGAAGTGCCAAAAGTCAACAATGGCCGTTTCTGGTAGTTGTGTGCCGCTAAATTTTTGCCGTTATCTCACGATGTTTTCTTTTTAAGGTAAATAAACTACTGATGGTTTTGATATTTTGCAAGCTGAGCATTTTTGCATACCATATGTAACTTAAAATATACACAAAGCCTACTTGTTAAACAGAAAAGTTATATAATAGCGAGTTTCATTTGGGTGTGTCCTTTGACATATTCACCACAATACAACTATTATAACAATCACAACATCCACCATACAACTATGATCACATTCACTACAATATGACTATATTCATGTATTAATCACAATACAACAATGTTCACAA